GCAGACAGCCTGTGCGATTGCTGGCTCCAGGCCTCCCAGCCCAGCTTGTAGCTCCCCCCAGAGTGGCGGGATTGATTGGCTGCAGCCGGAATGGGCACCAGTCTCCCTGGCTTGGACAGAAACGGGGCCATCTGTTACACCTCTAGTTAAAAGTACATAAAGTTGAGCATTTGTGCGCCGACAATACCACCCCTGACACCCTCCACGCGGCACAGCGCTCCGGCTCCTTGGCAGGCTTGTGTTCCACGACAGGCCCGTGCAGCAACGCCTACACGCTGGTTCAGTTGGCACCGCCACAGGCCCCACAGCGCCACCCTCCAGCAGCCTGGCCCAGCTGGGTCCAGCCTGCAATCTCCCATCTCACCTGTACCAGAGGCGGGAGGTGGGGGAGGAGCGTGGAGGGACAGGACATGTGTGTGACTGCTACCCCAGCTCAGGCTGCCTGGACTGAAGATGATACCAGATTTCAAGCTCTGATTTGGGGAGACCCAAGATAGCTTGTATGCCAGCCCTGGGGAGCAGGTGTCGGGTTTCCTGGCCAAGCCAATTAGAAGAGCTCACCTTGTTTCCCAACAAGGTCACACACCTTGAATTGGGAGTCCCTCAAGGTGGCCTCTTGTACCAGACAAGATTGGGTCCTGGACTTTGGTCTTGAGTCCTGGGTTCTAGACCTGGTTGATGGGCCCCAGGATGTGGACCCTGGTGTCTGAACTCTGTTTCTGGTTTGTGGTCTGAGTCTAGCCATTCCAGGCCTTCCAAAACCTTTCCCCCGTGTACTTCTGGCCAGGCCAGTCAGCTGCCCCCCTGCTTTTGTGAGCATCTTTGCACCTGTCTCTTTACTCTTGTTGCCCCCTCCCTCCAAACTGGAATCCTCCATTCACACCCTCTGACCGCGCAATCCTTCCCAGCCTTCCAGGAATCACTCTGGTCTCCCAGAGGCCCCTGCTCCATCTGAACAGCTTCTCATGAGGTTTGTCCAGCATGAGTCTGGAGATCCTTCTGCATAGGCAGCAACTGGCCTGGCCCTTGTTCAACCTACAAACTGCCACAGTGCTGGGTACATGAAGTGGGGGAGGCTCCCCAAATGCCCACCTGACGTCAGCTCAGCTGTGGGGGAAGAGGGGTAGTAACTTCTCAATGGCCACCAAGTGACTGCTGGTCACAGCCCAGGAAGCACCTGAGCAGGTGGACAGAGAGCTTTTAGATGCTACTTGGCTCAGGTTGCTCAGTACACATTTATTAAACAACTGCTGAGTGGGTTAAGCCATTGCCCGCGATAATATATCCCACATGGAGTGCCGATTCCAGTCTCAGTTGCTCTTCTTCTGATCCAGCTCCCTGCTAATGCACCTGGGAGACAGCAGGTGATAGATAGCTCAAGTGCTTGAGCTCCTGCCATCTTTGTGGGAAACCCAGATAGAATTCTGAGCTCCAATCCTCCATCTAGCGGCGCCGGCACACCGGTTCTAGTCCCGGTCAGGGTGCCGGATTCTGTCCCGGTTGCCCCTCTTCCAGGCCAGCTCTCTGCTGTGGCCAGGGAGTGCAGTGGAGGATGGCTCAAGTGCTTGGGCCCTGCACCCCATGGGAGACCAGGAAAAGCACCTGGTTCCTGCCTTCGGATCAGCGTGGTGCGCCGGCCGCAGTGCGCCAGCCGTGGCGGCCACTGAAGGGTGAACCAATGGCAAAGGAAGACCTTTCTCTCTGTCTTCTCTCTCACTATCCACTCTGCCTGCAAAAAAAAAAAAAAAAAAAAAGAATTCTGAGCTCCTGGCTTTGGCCTGACCCAGCCTGGTAGTTGCAGGAATTTGGGGAATGAACCACTGGATGGAAGATCTCTGTTGCTCTGCCTTTCAAGCAGGTGAAAAACTAAACATTAAAAAAAACTGATAGGCCGGTGCCGTGGCTCACTAGGCTAATCCTCTACCTGCGGCACCGGTACTCCAGGTTCTAGTCCCAGTTGGGGCGTTGGTTTTGTCCTGGTTGCTCCTCTTCCAGTCCAGCTCTCTGCTGTGGCCCGGGAAGACAGTGGAGGATGGCCCAAGTGCTTGGGCCCTGCACCCGCATGGGAGACCAGGAAGAAGCACCTGGCTCCTGGCTTCGGATCGGCGAAGCGCGCCAGCTGTAGCGGCCATTTGGGGGGTGAACCAATGGAAGGAAGACCTTTCTCTCTGTCTCTCTCTCTCACTGTCTAACTCTGCCTGTCAAAAAAAAATTGATAAACAGAAGCCAGTGTTCTGGTGTGACGAGCTGAGCTACTGCTTTTGAAACCAGGATTCCAGGTCAAAGCCCTGGCTGGAGTCCCAGCTGCTCTGCATCTGATCCAGCAGCCTCCTGCTGCTCCTGGGAAGGCAACAGATGATGGGCTAAGTGCTTGGGTCCCCAGCACCCAGGTGGGACACCTGGATGGAGTTCCTGGCTCCTGGTTTCACCCTGGCCCAAACCCGGCCATTGCTGCCATTTGGGGAGTGAACCAGTGGATGGAAGATCTTTCTTCCCCCTCTTTATGTCACTCTTTCAAATAAACAAAAAAATCTTTTACAAATTTTAAAAATATAAAAATACCTGCCATGTGCCCGGTCCTGTGCCGGGATTGGAATAGAAGAAGGAATCATTAAGAAATGAGATCAGACACAGCTTCTGCTCTCAGAGCTTATGCATCAGTAAAGCCCACGAGACCAGTCTGTAAGTACTAACTACAGCGCAACGAGCCAGCCACAATCAACAGAAGTGTTTAGACTCTCAGAGCTGGAAAGTATCCCAAAGGTCAGAGACTCTGGTACCCCATCCTTGGCCAAAATCCATTTATACCCACTACATGAGATAACATAGGTGAAGCCGATACTTGACACAAAGTGAATGACAGAACGAGAATGAAGATGATGCCGATGGCAATAAGAACTTGATTACTGTCCATCTCCACAGGGTCTAAGCTTGGCCTGCATCCTCCACGTGTTGGGGGAAGCTCACCTGCACACAAGGCAGCATTTCCAGGCTTCAGAGAACCACATGCAAGGATGAGCCAAAAGCAGCCTCCCTGATGGGGATTCCACACCCCACCCCCCGGGCCACACAGCACAGCCGGGAAAAGGGTAAAGCGAGTGAGGCCCAGCAGTCTAAGGCACAAAACTTAAGAGGCCTAAAAACACTAAGAGCAAGGGCCTCCTTAAATTGGGGGCACTATGCACTCCTCTTGCCTTACCGCGTTCTAACTTTGCCACACAGTTATGCCAACCCCAAGTGGCAACTGTCTGATTTCTCAAGTACCTTAAGCCTCCAAAGGAGCTCCCACCAGGAGCCTACAGAATGTGTGGTGACCTGGGGTGGTGGAGGCAGAGGAGGGCTGAGGACAGGAGGACATGGATTTGAATCAGGCATTCACCTGCCCACTTCAATCGCCTTCTGCACAACTGCCCATGTCAGGGCCGGTCTGGCTGCCCCAATAGGAGCCGCCTAAGACAAGGCTGTCTGGGTCCTACAAGACCCCAGTGGGCTCAAAAGGGCACCAGGCAGTCGGCCTCCAGATAGAGAGTGAGCCCTTCCCGTAGGTATCCCTGGGGTGTGTGGATCTGTGCGAATGTGAAGTGTATAGACCTTGGCAGCCCCTGGAGGCCGGGAGGGGGAGAGACAGGTGTGTGCTACACCACTTGCTACTTGGGCCACCCCAAACAAACCCCTTAATCTTTTGGAGCCTCAATTTGCTAGCAGTAAAATTGGACTTAGAGAAGTTATTTTCCTATCCACAGGGAGGACTCTGGGTCACAGCGAAGCTCTTCCTGGGGTCAGGCTTCTCCACTGGCTGGGGCCAGGCCAGGGCACACCCAGGCTTGGGCTCCTCTCAATCTGGACTCTCACTGCCTGCAACCCTAGGTCCCTGGTCTATGCTGCCAGCAACCACTCCTGCAGCCTCTCGTTCACCTCTGGTCGCTCATCCATCCGGCCCAACATCCTGCTTATAAAACCCTATCCACCCCTGTAGCATCTCCGCTTCCGCAGAACCCAGGGAAGGAGGCAAACATGGAATTCTTCCCATTTTCTTAAGCACAAACCCAGGTGCACTGCGGGTTAGAACTCGACTCTGATGAGCCCCTCCTCCTAGATTGGGCCCCCGGGGGGTCACTGGGAGGTGCACTAGGTGGGCGGGAGAGACGAAGACACGCAGGCAAGAAGGTGGGCGCGCAGGGCAGGGCACGCAGGGCGCGCGGGGCCGCGTCAGCCAGGGCTGCGCTTCTTACGACCCGCCGGCAGCGGGCGCTGCGGCGGAGGCGCCCTTGGCGCACGAGCTTTTGCTTGAGAACAGCTCACGCTAATATCCCTGGCTGTGTGGGAACAGCATTTTATTAAATGCTTCACACAGATTTGGTATAATAAAGATGAATATATTATATCCTTTGCCTCCCCCAGAGTGAGACAATAATAAGAGAGGGGAAAAACAATCAAGCGCAACATAAATACCACGTAATGGGACTTGTGGCGAGGGACGCCCCCGGCCACCTGCGGCTGGGGCTCGGGACCCGGTCGCGGCGGAGCAGGCCGGCAGCCCCTCCCTGCCCGACCCTCGGCTTCCGCTTCGCTCGCTTGCAGCCTGAAGCACCGACCTCAGGGAGGTGCCCTGGAGAGGGCGAACGAGCGCGGGCCGCTAGGACCAGCGTCCGCGGGGGACGGACGCCCCACGGGACAAATCCAGACCCGAGGGTTCCGCCGCGGCCCCGCCGCCCGCCAGGGAAAGTTGCCCTCACTCCCTGCCCCGGGGCCGCTTTTGGAACACCCGGGAGTCCTTCCTTGGGTCTTACCAGCACCCTTGCCTGGGCCTCTCCAAAATCGTTGGCCTGAAAGTGAGACTTGGCGACGCTGGACGGGTGCGCGAAAGGACGGCGTGGAGATTCAGTCCACGTCCTCCGCCGCTTAGGCTTGCCCAGCCCTGCGTCCACCGGCGCGGACATGTGAGACTGCGCGACGTGAACCCCAAACGGCTCCCAAGAGGCTCTGGGCTCAAATCTCACCTGTGGCGCTGAGGGGCCCGCCGCGCCCTTCACCGCAGCTCCCTCTTCGGCAAAACGGAGACACGGTGAGGGTCAGAGAGGCTTCCGGTGCGTGGCACCCCCAGGGGCTGTACAAAAGAAAAAGAAAAAGCAGCTACCGGCTGCTTACGAGATTTTCGTTGAAATGAACGGAAATTTCAGACGTGGGATTCGCGCGCACCTCCCTTCCTCGTTGGGCCCCGACGCAGGCAGCCCCGTTTGCCAAACGAACGGGAGGGCTGCGTCCCACGGCTCCCCCTGCCCTCGTGCCCTTGGCCCGTGGGCTCGCTCGCGAGCACGCGGGCGGCGGCGCTGTAGTTCGCGGGGATGAGGGGTGGTCGTGGCGGCCTCTTCGGCCACCGAGGCTGTGGCGGCCCGCCCCTCCCCAAACGCACGAGAAATACGTGGAGGCCCTGCGAAGAGGAAGAGGAGGAGGCAGCCGCGGAAGGAAGAAAACGGGGCTCGGGGATGGAGGGGCTGCTGGGGCCCGCAGAGTCCGGAGCCAGTGCGAGGGGCGAGGGCCCAGCTTGACCACGTGGCGGGGGGTGTAGGGGGAGGCCTCGTGGGACGGGAGAGGGCGGGGCGACCTGATGGACGTGAAAGTGCGTGGGGAGGCCCTGAAAGAATTGAGCATTGGTGGGTGTGGGTTGGCGAGGGACTCCTCAAAATCCGCAACTCGGGGACTTGTGGGAACCGGGAAAAGCCAAAGGGAGCTGTTCCGCGCAAACGAAATTCGGGCGCTACGCCCTTGGCATCTCTCCCAGGCCCGGCAGCCTAGGGTTCCCTAACCGCGCCGGGGAGAGCATTGCGGGGCCCACACGGGTGGAAGAGCCTGGCACAGCAGGAATTGGATCCGCGAATGCTCCGGCTGGGACCCTTAGGGTCCTGAACCAGGGAAGGGCACCTCGCTTCTATGATGAGGAGAACCCCAGCCCGGACGGCCGAAGCAGCCCCCAGGGGATCTGGGCTGTGAGCACGTGACCGAGCCAGTCTTCCTTTGCTTGGCGCCACGTCGCGGTGTGGATGGGCGCTGGGCCGCGGGTCGGACACCCGAAGCCCCTACTCTGGCCTCCTGCCCACTCTGGCCCCGCGCCTGGAACACCGGAGAGGCCCGTCCTGGACTGCACCGCCCAGCAGGCGGCCCTGTGACGGGAGTGGCTCCCGGGACGCGAACAGGCCCGGGAATCTCCCCCCACCCCCCACCCCGCCACCGCCTCTCTCCCTTCGGCAAGGCCAGCGTGGGGGTGGGGGCTGCACGGGCGGCGACTGCGCTAATGCGATGAGCCCCCGCGCGGCTGCTGAATTATTCACGTGCAGTTTATTACGAGAAGCCTGACTCAGGCCTTTGCCGTGCCCGCCTCGCTGCCCGGCCCGCTCCTCAGCCTCCTACTCTCGATCCAGGCCCTCGGGGTGGACCACAGTGGACTAGAGGGCGCTGACTACCACGGGGTGGCTTTCCTGGGCCGCGGAGCTTCTGGGCCCAGTGGGTTAGGGAGGGAGAAGGGCAACTCGTGGAGCTTCTAGCTTCGGCAAGGAGCGGAATCCCTACCGTTGGCACCGGAGCTACCGTGGCCTGGATGCAGCCGACCCCCAGCTCTGAACAGCCATCTGGGGCCTCCAGGCTGCAGCTCTGCTGCAGCACAGCCACGGGTTCATCCTCGCCCCAGCAACCAGCGGCCAGGTGAGGAAGGGCACCACTAGGGGGGCCCTGGGGCTCCCTATCCCAGCCCAAACCTCGGGCTTCTGGTGTGGCTGGTGCCCTTGCCTCCAAAGTGCCCCCTGCTTCTGCACCTGTCCAAATGCATCTGATCTTTCAAGTTCCAACTCAAAGGCCACCTTAAGAACAGAACCAGAACCTTACCCGGCACCCCGACCCCCCATACAGGTTCCTCTAAGTCCTTCATTGACACCAAGGCCACTGGAGGGGGCAGGCTAAGTGTGTTTTCTGCCACCCCCTGGCCGCCATCACGCCTCCATCTCATCTTCTGTTCCATCTTCCTCTGCTTCTGGGTACGATGGGGACTCAGTGTTGTTTTCCATAAAAACCGGAATGAACAGAGACCATTCCTGAGTCTGGCCACACAGCCACAGCTAAGTCCAGGCAGGACCCAGGTGTCCTCAGCGTAGCTAAGATGCATTAAAGAATGAGTCTGCCTCCTGTGCATGTTGGAGGTGTGCGCAACAGACATGCCTCACATCTGCATGCCGCTGGCAGGAACAATGCACCCACCCAGCTCTTGCACCTCTTCTTTGAGGCCCAGGCTGAGTTCACCGCCTGGCTCTCTCTTTGTCTCTGGTTTATTCATTTAGTTTGTTCATTCAACAAATGCTGAGGGAGCCCTTCCGGTGTATGCCAGGCTGGCGTAGGAGATGGACAGGAGATTCCACTCCCTTCCTCCCCAAGTTCACAGCCAGATGGAGAGAATAGCAGAAGGGCAGACAGAGGAACCAACATGTTTCTGGCATTGTGACAGTGACCCCAAAGGGGGTGTGCTGAGGACACAGTTGAACAGGGCAAGGAAGGTTTCCCCAAGGAGATGAGTTGAGCACTAAAGACAAAGCATAGTGCCAAGAAGGAAAGGGGAGCAGCCATTCAAGTCCCAGAACGAGAGGGGGAAAAACCTTCCTTCAGACAGGGCTGTCCTTCAGGCTGGGTACCTGGATCTGGGCCCTTCTCCCTCCTCTCTCTCTGCCCTGACCACACACACTTCCCAAGCAGAGTGAACCCCCTGCCTCCACGTGGCCCTGGTTGTGGACCACCTTGTCACTGAGCTCTGAAGGAATTCAGCTCACAAAAGAAGTGTGTGTGGTAGGGGGTTGGGATGGGGAGGGGCAGATGGCTTCCCAGAGAAATGTCCTAGCCTCACACCCTGCCCACCAGCTGAGATCCTGAGATCGGCCCCAGCCAGAGAAAGTGGGTCAGGCAGAGGGGCAGGTTGGAGGGAGGGCAGCTTGAATTGTGGGGCACCTGAGAAAGGGTAACTCCCCTCCCCATGGTGTCCCCCCTTCTCCCTGACTCTGCTCTTTTTCTGGATCTCTAACCTCCTTGAGGATCCAATGTGCTTTGTAAATAGTGGCCCCCAAAAATGTGCCCACCTGGTCTCACAATACACGGCTTCACATGCAGTTTCTGGGGTCTGCAGAGCTGACCGGCACCCTGACCCCCCATACGGGTTCCTCTAAGTCCTTCATTGACACCAAGGCCACTGGAGGGGGCAGGCTAAGTGTGTTTTCTGCCACCCCCTGGCCGCCATCACGCCTCCATCTCATCTTCTGTTCCATCTTCCTCTGCTTCTGGGTACGATGGGGACTCAGTGTTGTTTTCCATAAAAACCAGAATGAACAGAGACCATTCCTGAGTCCGGCCACACAGCTAAGTCCAGGACCCAGGTGTCCTCAGCATAGCTAAGATGCATTAAAGAATGAGTCTGCCTCCTGTGCATGTTGGAGGTGTGCACAACAGACGTGCCTCACATCTGCAAGCCGCTGGCAGGAACAATGCACCCACCCAGCTCTTGCACCCCCTCTTTGAGGCCCAGGCTGAGTTCAGCCATTCAGAGTGCCCCTAGGGACATCTGGTTAAGAGCTTCATGGTTCAAGTATTAAGGGCACAGACTTGGGTCAGAAAAAAGTGCTCCAATCCTGATTTCTCCAAGAGAGGCAGTGTGACTTTGGAAGGGTTACTTAACTTGTTTGGGCCTTCTTTTCCTTATATGTAAAACAGGAGTAGTAGCTACCTTAAGGAATTATGAATAGTAAATGAAAGAAGTAGAACTGAGCCTGGAGCCAGGTGAGGTGAGGGCTACGGTGTTTACTGTCATGGATGTGTTGTCACTACAGATGGTGGCCCAGAGCGAGCAGTGCGGCTCAGCCAGGGTGGCAGGAGGCTGGCTACCCTGGCTCACTTCTATAGTGGAAGAAACCCTCTCCAAATTTTACATGGGTCATCAGGGCAGCAGGTTTCCATGGGACCAAAAAAAAAAAAAAAATTTCTGTAAAGGAGCCTGAAGGTCAAGGGTGGTGCTTGCCCAAAAAACCTGGAAACAGTTGGCGCTACCAAAAGAATCGGGATCGACTCTGGAAAGCGGTGGGAGGTTTACGTGAATTACTCCCCTGTGCTTAGGAAGAACTCGTTGTGTTTGGGTCTGCGGGGTCCCTTTATTGTGTTAATTCATGCAACACTCTTTCCCTCTTTGTCTGGAATATTCTCTAAACTGGAGGGCAAGCAGATTTTTGGCAGAACAAGCCCTTCCCTTATTCCCTGGAATAAGGCAGGACCCTGGCCACACAGGCAGCTAAGAGGCATTCAGGAGCCCGTATACAAGTGGGCTGGGCATCGCCTCTGAGAACGGACTCCAGAGAGCAGCTGCTTCCAGCTCCAGGTGCAAAGACGCTGGCCCAGCTGATAGGGAGTGGGGATGGGGTGGGGGGAGACAGAGAGCCTTCCTCACTCCAGCTTGGGCCCCAGGAATGGGTTGGGCAGAAAGATGCCAGCCTTCAACTGGTAGCTTTTCAATCAACCTCCTCCCACTGCCCCAGTCCCTCCCCCTTTGGCGCTCCATAATCTCCAGGCCCCTCCAGGGGGAACAGTCCAGACCCAAGTCATTCTGTAATCACTTGCACCCCACTTCCTCAATGGAGACTCATCCAAAAACTATTCCTCCACCCTGTGTCCCCCAGGCCTGTGCAAGTCCCAGGTGGATGGAATCCCCAGGTCCAGGCTCCTGCCCTTAAAGATCTCAAAATATGGAGGGAAGGAGTCATTTGATGACCCCAAATTGTACCTGGTTACTCTGCAGAAGGAGTGGGGAAAGCCCACGGATTTGGGATCCTAAGGGTCTAGAAGATCCGAGTTTCTCTCACACAGGTTTCTCTCACACAGGTTGGTGGGGAGAGTTGGGCTGATTTTTGAAGGCAGCCTGGATAAGGTGTTCCAGGCAAGAGAGACTAAACAGCAAAATATCAGGTGGTACCACTGTGTACCCTGTGCACCTCCAGCCACGCAGTGTACCCAAGCATAGGTTAACCAATCAGGCCAAAAAAAAAAAAAATCAAAGCTGTGGTACAGGCTTGGCAAGGAAAGAGAAGATTTGGCAAAGGTGGGTGGAGGCGATGGAGCAGATGACCACGGAATCGCCGAATCGCCACTTTACAGTGTGTGGCTGGAAACGAAAGGTCTCAGGAAGCAGAGTCCCTCTGCTCTGCTCGCCGATTTACATTCCTCCCCTTCCCGACAGCCTCCCAGTGGCCCTGAACTCCACTGCGCGGGAGGGACTGGGAATGGGCAACAGGAGCTTGGCTTCTCCCAGGTCCTGTCTTGTGGACCAGTACCAGGTGCAGAGAATGGGACAGGAGCGCTTGTGGGGGGAGGGGAGTCTGGGATAGGGGGTGGGTAATGATAGAAAGTGCCTGGCTCCTCTTTCCCCTAAGGAAAGGGACTGGAGGGTCCCAGTTACCAGACTTGGAGAAGCCTTCATCTAGCCCAAGGGGTGTGGCTTGTCAGAGGCTTTGGGGGGGGGGTTATGGCAGGAAAGGGCTGCAGTGGGATCCAGACAGCAGGAAGTCAGGGGAGCAGGCAGACCCCTGTTGGCCCCAAGCCTGGCGCCCTCTCCATGGGACCCTAGGCTCCAGTTGCACCGTTGCTAGGCCCAGCATCACCTATGGCTCTCAGGATAGCAGGGATGCAACAGAGACAGGCCTGCCCGGCAGAGGGGCCGGCTTCTCTGGGGGAACTGAGATCCTCTTTCTTAGGACTCCTGCCTCAGAGCACAGCACCTGCCATTGTCCTCCACCCCCCACAGGCAGGACAGAGATGGGCTTGGGGGTAGAGAGCTCTTCCCAACACTTCCCGGGAGGCTTGGGGTCCGCCCTGGGGCCCAAAGTGAGACTCTTTTCTCCCTACGCTTTCCCTTTTAACCGGAGAGCTTCCGGCCACAATCCCAAACGCGTAACTAAACGGAAGATAAAGAAGCCTATCTCTGACGCGCCCGACAGAGAACCCATTCGCTCCCTGCCCCACAGCCCCACTTAGCTTGCTCCCTCTCTGGGACAGCAATGGGGGCAAGAATTCCTATCCTTCCCTCCTACCCACTCCTGGGCCCACGAGTCCACAGGCTGGCCTTTCTGGCTCAAGCTAAATGGCCCCACCGCGATGCCCACCAGGAGTTTACCAGACAAAGCCAGGGCCAGGTCTGTGTGTGTGTGGAGAGAAACAGCTCTTCTTCGCTTGGCTCCAACCCCTTCTTCCTCCCCTCCTCTCTCCAAGGACAAAAATGGAAAATTAGGGCCCCACATAAAGCAGACCCCGGAGCAGGAGAGAAGAGGGCCCGAGGCCACAGCCCCTCTGGGGTGTCTTAGAGGAAACGAAAGGCAGAGCTGGAGTTCAAACCCATCCAATATACCCACAAGTTCACATACGTTTACACGAACACACAAGGAGAACCACACGCCAAGACACGTATTAAAAAGCGAACACCTTCAAATAGCGATGCGCACAAAATGCTCGCCTGGTGCTCACAGATTTCAGGCCGGAGGGTCCCAGCCCCCAGCCTGATCCTGGAACCGGGGCCTCCAGGCGAGTTCCTGAGAGGGAAGCCCCAGCCGCGGCCGGCCCCCGCCGGGCCCCCGCCCCGTATCCGGAACAGCTGGAGTCGGCCAGGCCCTGCACTCGAGCCCGGCTCTGGGCTGGGCGGGGCCCGCAGCGGGGCCCTGGCCCCGGCCCCGGCCCGGCAGAGCGCAGCGGGGAAGCCCCGGGCCGGCCCGGTTAGCCCCGGAAGCCGGCCTGGCTGCCCGTCAGGCTCCGGTCACCAGGCGAGAGGTGGCCCCGGTAGGCCTGGAGGGCCTCGGCAGGAGGACAGTGTGCAGGATTGCCAGAGGAGGTAGGGCGGCCGCTTCGGGCTCAGGCCCGGGTAGAGGCGCGCAGAGCCACCAACTACCCGCTACGCCTCTGGGCATGAGGGAAGCTGAGCCCTCGACTGGCCCCCTCCCCCAACCCCTGGGGATCCCCCCTTCAGGTCCCGCGTCGTCCACCCAGGACTCTGAAGGGGGCTCCGACCTCCCGCCGGCCAGCCCGAAGGGCTTCAGCTTCCCTCGCTCCAGGCGCGTGGCCCAAGGCCGGGCGTGAGGGGCAAGCGGGTCTGCGGTTAGGGGTGCCGGGTTCTTGATTTCACCACGGCAAAGTCCACGCTGGGAGGCAGCGGGGCCCACCCGGGCTCCTGGTCTTACCTGGCCCGCGCGGCGGCCGCGTCCCTCCCCGGCTGGGGCTCCCGCCACCCTTCTCGGGCTCCGTATCCCGGGTCGGAGAGCCCAAGACCTCCGGGCTGGCGCTGCCACCGCAGCCGGGCGGGCGGGAGGCGGGTGCGCCGGGAGCGCGGCTTGCAGTTTGGGGTGGGGGCGGTGGCTTTTCAGTCGCCCGAGGTTCGGGTGCAATAAAGGCGCCGCTAATGTAATTTACAAACAGCTCGGCCCGAGCGCGGCGCAGCGCCCGGACTGACAGGCGCATTAGGCAGGCTAATTCCAGCCGGCTCCTCCTACCCCCGGCCCGCTAATTAATGAGCTTCCCAACTTAGAGCCGCCTGCATTGGACAGACAGAGAGTGAAAGAGAGGGCGAGAGAGAGGAAGAGAAGGAGAGAGACGGGGGGAGCAAGAAGGGAGAAGAGGGAGGAGGGGGGGAGGGAGAGAGAACAGAGAAAGAAGAGAGAGGAGAGAGAAAGGGAGAGAAAGTGCTGCTGCAGGTAATTGATTACTCCTCGATCAAGGCTAACTTGTTAGCAATAGTCAATTGCCCCGTCTCTCCGCCTTCCCTGCAGTCCGGGACCGGCGCCCTCGTCTCGGTTCTTCCAACTGCCGCCGCCAGGACCCGGGGCCAGGAGCTGCCGCGGAGCCACCTGACACCTTTAAATAGCACCGGGGCTGGCGAAACTGGAGCCCCGCGCCGCGCGCCCCGGCTCCGGCCCCGGATCGCTGGAAGCCCCGGCGGCGGCGGCGGCGGCAGCGGCGGCGCCCGCGTCAGCGCTCTCCTCCCGGGGCCCCGCGCGGCACTGCCCGCCTCAGCCACCGAGCTAATCGCTCCCCGCGCCCAGCCCGCACCCTGCCCGGCGCGGCCTCCTTCACGCCTGCCCGCCCGCGCCGCACGGCGCCTGAGCTGCCCCGCGGGCTGGGTCCCCGCAGCCCGAACCGCCCCGGCCGGGCCCCCGATCGAGGCCGAGATGACTTCCAAGGAGGATGGCAAGGCGGCGCCGGGGGAGGAGCGGCGGCGCAGCCCGCTGGACCACCTGCCGCCGCCCGCCAACTCCAACAAGCCGCTGACGCCGTTCAGCATCGAGGACATCCTCAACAAGCCGTCCGTGCGGAGAAGTTACTCGCTGTGCGGGGCGGCGCACCTGCTGGCCGCCGCCGACAAGCACGCGCCGGGCGGCTTGCCCCTGGCGGGCCGCGCGCTGCTCTCGCAGACCTCGCCGCTGTGCGCGCTGGAGGAGCTCGCCAGCAAGACCTTTAAGGGGCTGGAGGTCAGCGTCCTGCAGGCTGCTGAAGGTAGGCGCTTCGGCCGGGGTCCCCGGCGCCGTGCCTCCTGAGCCGTCTGCCTCTGCCCGCCTCCTCCCGCGCCAGCCGCCAGGGCCCTCCAGCCCGAGCCGCTGCAGCGGGGAGTGCAGATGGGTGGCACCCGACCCAATCCCTGTGTCCTAGGGACCTCTGGGTAGGCCAGAGTCGGGGTGATCCGAGAGGGGGCGGGCACCCACGCGCTCTCTTTGGTGCTCTGTCCAGCTCCAGGAAACTGGCAGCCGGGGTGCTCCCTGCTCTGCTCCTGCTCCTGGGGTGAGAAGCCAAAGGCTTTTCCCTGGGTAGGGCAGAGTCGGAGTGACTGGGAAGGGGTGGAGAGCGGTTGCTCACACCACCATCCGGCCTGCCCTGCCTGGCTTCCTCGGCCTCTGGCGGACTTTGTGTCTTTCAAACCAACTCTTAGGCAGGGGGCAGAGACCAAAACGATTTTTTTTTTTCTTAGCGGCTTCTGGGAGACCAGAAACAACAGGAGGTTTGAGAGGGCAGAGGCTTGCCCTGGTGTGGGAGGCAACCTGCACGCCAGAGGGGCCCGCCTGGGCTAGGAAGTCCTGGGGGCGAGGGCCGGGCCGGTGTGTATGGGGTGTCTCCTCTCTCCCCATGCGAGCCCATCCTGTCGTTTCCTCGCAGGCCGCGACGGGATGACCATCTTCGGGCAGCGGCAGACCCCAAAGAAGCGACGGAAGTCGCGCACGGCCTTCACCAACCACCAGATCTACGAGTTGGAAAAGCGCTTCCTGTACCAGAAGTACCTGTCCCCGGCAGATCGCGACCAGATCGCGCAGCAGCTGGGCCTCACCAACGCTCAGGTCATCACCTGGTTCCAGAATCGACGCGCCAAGCTCAAGCGGGACCTGGAGGAAATGAAGGCCGACGTGGAGTCAGCCAAGAAACTAGGCCCCAGCGGACAGATGGACATCGTGGCGCTGGCGGAACTCGAGCAGAACTCGGAGGCCGCAGGCGGAGGCGTCCCGGGCTGCGGCAGGGCCAAGTCGAGGCCCGGCTCCCCGGTGCTGCCCCCCGGCGCCCCGCAGGCCCCGGGAGCCGGGCCCCTGCAGCTCTCGCCCGCCTCTCCGCTCACGGACCAGCGGGCCAGCAGCCAGGACTGCTCGGAGGACGAGGAGGACGAAGAGATCGACGTGGACGATTGAGCGGCTCGCCGGCTCCTGCGCCGCCCTGGGCTCCTGAAGCCCGCAGGCCAGCCGCCTCCCGAACCGGACCGCACCGGACCGCACCGCAGCGCACCGCCGCCGAGGGGAGCTGGGACCTCCTCTGCAACTCGCGCCTCCTCCCCTGTCCCCAGAGCGGACTCGGCTCCCGGCAGCCTCCTCTTCCCTCTCGAAGCAATAAACCCGGGCTGGCCCCGCCGCACGCGGCCTCCGCCGCCCCGGGAGCCCTGGCCGTGCAGTTCTGTATGGCTTCTGTACAAATATTTAAACCCACAGAGCGGATTCTTCCCACCGAAGCTTCCTTGTTTTTCTGTTTTTCTTTTCTTTCTTTCTTTCTTTTTTTTTTTTTTTTTAACTCAGTGATTTCCATGTTTTCAAAGCTCTCGGGCTGCCTGCCGGGTTTGCCAAGGGAGAGGCAGGATCGCGGGCAGCGAACACTAACCCCGCGGACTCAAGTGGGGACAGTCCCGGCTGCTCTGATTTTTCTCTGCATGTGGCGAATGCACTGGCCTGCTCCCTCCTCGCCTCGTTCGGCTTGTTGCAGCTGACTTCTGTCTTTCTGCCTTTTTCCCCCTCCGCGTGGGAAGGGGGTAGGGAGATAGCTGGGCCCTGACTTGCAAGTTTCAAAAAATCTGTCTTTTCTCCCCCCCACGAGAGAAGTCTGTTTTCGATGCCATTTCTGCCTCCCCACGCCACTGCCGCTCTTTGTAAGAGTCCCCCGCTCCCGCTTTTCCTCGGACTGCCGGCTGGGGTCTGGCTCTTAGGGACAAAGCAGAGGGAAATTCAACCAACCGACCATCGAAAATGGAACCCAAAGTCCTAGAGTTATTTTTTACTCTTTTTAGAATTTTTTTGCATGTGACAGAGACAGAGAGGAGGCCGGCCCAAGCCCTCGCCCCACTCCTCCTCCGCAGCTCTGGAGCTGGCCTGCGGCTCCCACATCCTGCTCCTAGCTCAACTTGGCCAGACTCAGGTGGGGTGGCGGGATGAGGGCGGCTCTCACATGCCCCTTCCCTGCTCCTGCCCTGCCCTCTCCTCCCCGGACTGTACCCAAGGCCTCTTTCTCCAATAAAGTCTTTGCCATTTTACTAGAACCGGTGGTGCCCGCGTCTCAGTGAGTGGGCTCCACTGTGAGCCGCGGCGGCGGCGGCGGGCCCCTAACTGCGCGTGCCTGGCCTTTCGCGGGCGCCGCGGCCTCGGCCTCGGAGGTTTGGGGACCGGCGTGAGAACGGGGAGCGGAGGAGAAGCAGAGGGAGGAGGCACTTCTTGTTCATAAACACGTGGCAGCCACTGAACCGGGGGAGAAGGGGGCTTCGCCAGGTCAGGGTGGAAAGCGAAGCGTCCAACGCTGCGAGCGAATGCGTGCGTCGGTGGGCAACGTCGCGGCACAAAATTAATTTGTGTAGGACAAGGGGTGCGGAGAGGTGACTCTCCGCATGGTTCCCGCCTCCCACCACGGACCCAACGGCATTCTGCCTCTGCTCCCTGCGCAGGGCAAGCCTCACTCAGGGGGACACCGGGGTGGAGCCTGGGGGCTCCCACGTTTCGGTTTGCCCCGAAGACCTTATTCTTGGAGGGGAGAGGGGAGTGAAGCCGGAAGCAACAGGAGAGGGCCGAATCGCACACAAGGGCAGCCGGAGATGCCAGTCCACAGCGTCTGGGAGTTGGGGTAATTTCTGGTCACATTCGCAAATTCTGAGCCCTAACTCGGTCTGTGGGGGAGGGGGTTGAACAGAGATTTGAATCTGGCCAGGACTCTCTGGGGTCCGAAGCGCCCTCGAGGCGGCTGGGGTGAGGACTCGGCCGCCTTCACTTCCCGGGACAGAGCCGGTTTCTCTCAGCTTTTGTTGTCGCTGGGCTGGCGAGTGGCCGCTGTCACCGGAATAGGGTCCCGCCTCCGGGCCGCTCGGCTCTCTTTCTCCTCAAAATTGATGTGAGAAACGCGCATCTGGTCTCGGGCTGGCGATGGGGCCCCCGGGCCTGAGTCAGGAACGTGCGTGTCCGGGAAGAAATAGACAGAAACGGAAAAAACAGCAGGGAGAGACGCTGCACAGGCGGAGAGAGAAAGCCGAGAGCCAGAGAGACGGGGAGCGGAGAGACGAAAACGAGAGAGACGCAGAGACAGGGCGAGAGGCGGGCAGAAAAAAAGAGAAGGGCGAGAGGCGCGGAGAGGGTAGCGAACGAAGGCGGCGGCCGGGCAGCCGGGCGGGCGTGCGGCCGGTTCCTCCCGGGCGACATAAATCGCCCTCTCTCAGGATGGATGGGTCTGTAATTCGGAGCGCGGACCATGAAGGCCGGGACGAATGGGCCCGGGCGGCCGCTGACAGGCGACAATAGCCGGGCCCAGCCCCCCGCGGCTCCCGGTGCGGGCACGGCCGCGGCCCTCCGCAGCCCAGAGCGCGCCGGCGCTGGCGACCATATGGTTTTTGAATTTTCTTCACAATTTGTAGACAATTTGATGGATTAGGTCCCCGCGCGCGCCTCCCCGGCACAAAGGCGGCGCAGGGACCGCGGCGCGGCGGTCACCCGGGCATCTGCGCCCGCCATGCGCACCTCCCCCCCGCCCGCCCCCCGCCCCGCGCCCCGCGCCCCGGGCCGCCCGCCCAACACGCCCATGAATCCCAATGAAGCCGCCCTGGCACCTCCGGCCGCTCCCTGCTTCGCGGCCCTGGGCTGGGCCCTGCTGGGTCCCTTCGGGCTGGGGGCGGCGGCCTCGAGGCTGAGCCCACCCTAGCTGCGGCGCCCGCGGGGCGCGCAGCTAAGCAGGCGCATCGGGGCTGAGGAGAAGCGGAGCCATTTATCCGCCCGTCTAGTTAAAGCGGGTTATTTGTTTGCTTCTCCGGCCTCCCCTCCCCTCCCCTCTTCCCCTCCCCCTTCCCTCCTCCCCCTCCCTTCCCTTCTGCCTTTTATTCTTTTGTCTCTAAATGGATTTAATGAGCCTGAAAAACATGACAATTGAATATAACCAAGAAATAAAAAATAACGAGGGAGGAAGGAAGGAGGAAAAGAAAGAGGGAAGAGGAAGGGGGAAGGATTAATAAAATCAAAGGAAAAATCAATTCAATAAATGTTCATTGTGCGCAGGTGGCTGGGAAATTGAATGAGACTGGGTTCCTGCCCTCAAGGAGCTCCCCGTCTAGCGGGCAAGCCCCGGAGCCCCCACTGGCGCCAACTGGAGATCGGGCAGAGGGGCGGGAAAGCGCTACTTGGAACACGCAGAGAGAGGGCTTCGGGCTCCAGGGTGGTGGTGGCTTCGCGGAGGTGGTGGCTTGGGCCTCGGGCCTCGGGGAGAAGCCCTTGTACCTATAGAAGGGCGAGCGAGTGAAAGGACCGCTCCGCCGTCTTCGGGAAGGGAGAGAAAGGTGGACGCGCCAAATTTTGGCTGGGCAGTCCAGGGGAGGCCAGGGGAAGAGAGCCCTGCTTATTCTGGGGCAGTGGATCCTAGCCACCCCGCAGTGCCCTCGGCTCGGCTGGATTCGAGGGCTCCGCAGGCTGCCGGTGGGCTTCGGGGATACCCGCGCACCGCTCTCATGGCCGTGGAGGCCGGACTGGGGCCCGGCGAGCACTGCGGCCTGGGGCTCAGCCAGGCCCCACCGCTCCGGGGCGGGGGGGGTGGGGGAGAGGGCGGCGGCAATCGAGTCCGCAACCGCGGGGAAGCACCGAGTCGCTGGGCCTAGGCGCCGGCGAGGGCTCCCGGGCGGCTCGGGCTCTCGTCCACCTCTCCTCGGCGATCCCAGTTCTGATGAAGGCTGCTCCCCCTGCGCGGGCTGGGGGCGCTCAGCAAGCCGGGGCCGCCAGGGGGAAGCCGGCCTGAACCCCAAGCGCGGGTCCTGGGCCTCTTGGCGGGTGCCTGCCGGGCCTGGCTCGGGGTGCCGCAGTGTGTGGCGAGTGTACCCCCGTGTGCGCTCCGTGGGAGCAGGAGTGGGCAGTGCATATCTGTTTCCCGCTTCTGAACGTACGTGTGAGTGTGGCGTGGGCCAAGGCGGGTGAGTGGGTGCGGGCTCTACGCCCGTTCTCCGGGGCGCGGTTAGTAACGGTTTGAGCCCCTCCGGGCCGCCAGCCCTGCGGTGACTTGTCACCGCCTGGGGCCGTCGTCCACCCCTTTCGTTTGGGACGCTGGCCTTCTTGCGGCCCCACTTTCGGTTCCCGGCAACCCAGGGAAGGCAGCTGGGCCTTGTGTCTCCCCTTCGCGGCTGTGTCCCGGGCGTCGGTGCGCCCTGCGAACCCCTGCGCGCGGGCCTGTGCCGCGCCGCGCTGCGCCGCACCACCCGGCGGGCTTGGCTTTCCCCGCTCGGCGGCCCGGCGGGCGGCGCCGGGTGAGGCCGGGAGGCGCAGTTCCTTATTTTACGAGGTGTCGGGCCGGTGTCAGACGCAGCTCCGATAAGTAATACTCCAGTCTGAGGGACCAGAACGTGGTAATTAATCCCGAAGACTTAAGTGTATTTTAGTTCAGGAGAAAAAAAATCACTAATTCAATCGTCCGGAAAATTGAAGTTTGATGCATGAGTCCCCCCTGAAAGGGACGGGCTGGGGCCGCACGCCTCCCCACCGCCCCTGCCCGTCGCCGCGGGGTCCCCCTCCTCCCCGCCCTTCTGAGCCGCTGGGTCTAGGGAAGTCCACGCACCCCGCCCTGCGCATGCTCAGCTACCCAACCCGGGGGCACCTGCGCTTCATTCCCCACTCCCCAACAAGCAACCCCTCTTTCTTGGGGCCCAGAAAGCCGATGGTGCAGGCACCTGGGAGGGAGCTTAAGGAAGTCCCAGAGGTACAGGGGGAGCAGTCAGTAGAGTGAGGGGCTGCAAGGCCCCCTCGTGGGCTGGGAACTGAGGGCCAGGGGCCAGGCAGCTGCTGTTAGAAAGTGGAGAAGTACAGGGGGGTATGAGTTGGGATAGAGCTGGATGTGTTGGGGGTGGTGAATGGGCTGTGGGTGTGAGGGGCTGTGTAGGAAATGGGGTGCACCCCTAGACTGTGCCAGGGCAGGAATGGAGGTCTCCAAAGAGACTGGGAGATGTGGGGAAGTCAGGAACTTGACTCCTCGCTGTGAGCACAGGCTGACACCTGCTTCTAGGATTGGAGCTCAGGAAGGGGGTGGTTCCTGGGCTTGGTGCCTGTGGCGCGGAGTGGGGGGGCAATACACTGATAGAATTCGCACCTTGTTTCCCTGGGACCCCACCTCTACCCTCACCAGGTCTAGGGCTGCCATCTTAAGTCACCATGTCTCCTCCCAAGGGTTACCTGTCCTGGGAGAGACTTGGGGTTGAGGGTGTATGTGTGTGTATCAAGCTACATGGGAACCACAAGGTGCATTTCTGAGTGTGTCTTCAAGTGTGTGGCACTGAGAGACTGAGCACGTGCAACTGGGGGTGACTGGGTGTGTGCTGCTGCGTCTGTGTGACCAATTGTTTGAAAGTAGTGAGTGCAACTAGGTGTGACTAAGTTTGTGCAATGGGGAGGAAAAGAGTAAAGCTGTCACCAGGGCGGGTGTGACCAGCGGGTGAGCAATGCCCTGGGTGTGTGATGTGTGCAGAGAGCTGGTGTGAACAGAGAATGCACATCGATGCAGAACTGAAGCTAAGGCAGACATCCAGAATCCTAGCTCCAAATCAGCCTGGCCAAGCTAGCTGCTCAAATTTACACTTGCACTGTGCAAGAGAGGGGTGGGGTGCCTATGGTCTCATGGGAGGTATAAGCAGAAAATGGAATGGAAAACCCTTTTAGCCTGGGTGTGAGTCTACTTTGAGGGTACCCAGTGAATGAACACAACGTGGGGACAGACTCTGCTGTTTGGAGAACAGGTGGGGAGCGGCAGGTATCTGCTGCTGTGCCAGTGAGCACTGGGCAAGCTCCTTCGCGCTGAAGGGTGAGCCTCTGTCTCTGGCTGTGCCATCCCAGGTAGTCCTGTAAGGCTCGGACACCCCAGCTCACTGAAGGGACGCTCTTTCTCCATGGAGGGTTCTGCCCTGCCCACACTGCCGAGGGTGCAGAGGCAACATATCCACGTGTGTATGTGGGACGGGTGATGTGCCAGCAGGTCTGGGAGTGAATGATCCTGCCCACTTTGGAACCTGGGGGGATGTGTGAGTGTGTGCAGGGC